AATCAGCCTGGAGGAGGGCTCCAGCACGAAAGGCCAATCGAAAGTTTGATGTACAAAAAACCAGCACGCAGAGGAGGGCAGCGCGTGCTGTGGTCGGAAAGGAAGTCAGACTCCGATGTGCGGACCAGGAGGGGAGTAGGAGGCAGGGCGACCAGCTGTTCGCTTCTGGCTAACGCAACGCGGATCTAGAAGTGGATAGTGGATGAAATGCTCAAGGTCAACAGCAGCAGCAGCAGCAGCAGGTCCTGAGGCGGCGGCGGCGGAGGAGGGGCAAATCACTTCTCGAAGGAGGCCTCAGTCACAGCTTCCATCCTCGAAAACCATCGATTACTCTGCTTCTTGATTTCATTGGCCACTTGTCGTCGACTTATCGACAGTTTTAACATCTACGCAAACGAAGACAAGGCAGGGTTAATTGCGGCGTACACAAATAATATTTTTCCAGGTCTACAAGCGATGCTCACCAAAGATATTGAGGCTTCGAAGAAAAAAAAACTATAAGATAACTGTGGAGTCATTTTAAAACAACAACCGATTTACTGGTATCGGTCACGCCCAGACGCCCGTCGCAGTTAATTGGGCCCACATCCGCTACAATTACCCCATTTTCGTTGCTGACGCCCTGATGAACGCTATAATCACCCCCATTTTCATCGCAGTTTCTTACCCCTCATGACCTGGTGACCCTGGACAGTTGATTGGTGTACATACACTATAACTAGCACTTCCTTTGTTGCTGTTTCTTATCTAATATTCGTGGAGATTCAAGGTTCAGATATCATATCGTTTTCACCATCCCCCAAAGACTAGGAAGAAGGAGGTACGAGGACATGGACCGATTTATTTTTAGACTGACGTTTCGGACACTCTCTCGGTTCCATCGTCAGAGTAACTGGGTTGGTTGTTCCTGTTCGCCGGGACTGTTGCAGCCTTGCCGCGTGCCTGTTATTATATCCGCGCTCGACGCACGAACTTGGAACTGCCTGATCGATATTGATTGATCGTAATATTGATCGTTGGTGAGTGTCCGAAACGTCAA